TGGATCCTGTAGTTGGCTCGGGAATCTGGTGAAGGCTGTGAGCCGTTGGATCGTGAAGCCAGATCCAACGGGCTTCCTGTTGCGGCGCTGAGACAAGATAGAGGCTAGGGTTTTTCCAACCCTAGCAGTGTGGGCTGCCAGTTCCGGGTTGTTGAGTTCGGGCTTGGTTCAAGCCTGTTGTAATATGTTTTTTCATTTGGGTCTGTAATCATAAAAACGTTTATTTAGTGCAATTTTATTAAACATATCATAGATATATATATATGTATATTTATTAAACACCCTATATAATTAAACATACATGGTAATAAACTAAAAACAACCTAAATGGATAAACACATGCAAAACATGGTAATGATACTAATTAGTAGTATATAAATAAACTGGAGTAAAAACTCGAACGAGAACCCTAGACAAAACGAGTGTCTACAGCTGCCCCTCTTTGTGCATTCTTGTGTTAACAAGAATAGGGTAAAGATAAAAAAGACAGCGCGTTTTTGTCCAATTTCATCCTCGATTGGGAACTTGGTAAGGGATCTGCTCCAATCTTCCTTCACGGTAAGTGAGATTTGAAAAATCTTCGACCAACGGGTTCACTTTCTCTTTCTTCAGGGAGTAGAACTCGAACATTCTTCTTCCTACGGGCTCGCTCTCTCTTTTCTTCAGGGAGTAGAACTCGAACAATCATCTTCCTACGGGTCTGCTCTCTCTTCCTTCAAGGAGTAGAACTCGAACAATAATCTTCCTACGGGTCCGCTCTCTTTTTCTTCAGGGAGTAAGAACTCGAACAATAATCTTCCTACGAGTCCGCTCTCTATTTCTTCAGGGAGTAGAACTCGAACAATAATCTTCCTACGGGTCCGCTCTCTTTTCCTTCAGGGAGTAAGAACTCGAACGATAATCTTCCTACGGGTCCGCTCTCTATTTCTTCAGGGAGTAGAACTCGAACAATAATCTTCCTACAGGTCCGCTCTCTTTTTCTTCAGGGAGTAAAAACTCGAACAATAATCTTCCTACGGGTCCGCTCTCTATTTCTTCAGGGAGTAGAACTCGAACAATAATCTTCCTACGTGTCCGCTCTCTTTTTCTTTAGGGAGTAATAACTCGAACAATAATCTTCCTACGGGTCCGCTCTCTATTTCTTCAAGGAGTAGAACTCGAACAATAATCTTCCTACGGGTCCACTCTCTTTTTCTTCAGGGAGTAAGAACTCGAACAATAATCTTCCTACGGGTCCGCTCTCTTTTTCTTCAGGGAGTAAAACTCGAACAATAATCTTCCTACGGGCTCGCTCTATATTTCTTCAGGGAGTAAGAACTCGAACAATAATCTTCCTACGGGTCCACCCTATTTCTTCAGGGAGTAGAACTCGAACAATAATCTTCCTACGGGTCCGCCCTATTTTCTTCAGGGAGTAGAACTCGAACAATCTTCTGTTGCTTCACTACCTCCTTGTGAAGGCTTATAGATAATTTACTTCACTACTCTTTCGTGAAGGCTTGAGTTTGATTCGCTTCGAAGGTTGAACCTGAAAATCAAACATTATCAATCATTAATGTATGCTCGAAAATATCCAACTCAAAAATTTTGAGTTCGAGAAATTTTCTAAAAATTCATCTTCATCGTGAAAACTTGTCTGGAAGCCCTTAGATATGTGAATCTACTTTGGCTCAATTGTTGTCATCATTCTTTTTAGGATTTCAAAACTAGTCATCATCATCTTGATGCTTCAATATATTCAATCCTCCACTATCATGGGGAAACCTGTAGACATTTAATTCATCATGCAATGTCATGATCCTATTCATGCCTAAAATGTATGCAAATATTCAATTCAACACATTTTCTTCTTCGAAGGAACATCGTCTCCTTTGATTTTGATGGACCTCGATTTCGTCTTGGGCACCGAACATTTGACCAGTTCACCCCAGTTAACAATCTCAAAATCATATCTCTCGGCTTGACATAACTTTGACTTCTCTCATTCTTGAAGCCTACCATTACCCATGACCAACTTCTTGATGAATGGCATTCTCTTTGGGCCACCTATTAATGGCTGGAATTTTCTATGAATCCCAAGGTTTCTGCTTCCCATAACCATACAAACATACATGCTAAAACCAATGTTAGCTTCAGAATACTTGTCTTTTCAACATCTTTTGCATAACAATACAAAATGATCTCATGTACCATAAGCTAAGCTATATGTTTTAACTTTTTCAAAATCAAATGCTTGTAAAGGAGAATTGAAAAGGAAAAATATTACTTTATTTATAAATACAAAGAATTTTTAGCAACTATATGGCAAACTTTTAACTGGAAAAAGAACAAAATGATAGGCGTATTCAAATATCAATAACACAAATGCCTTTGAACTGGCACGCCGTTAGAATAACCCGAGCGTAGCTTCTATCAAAAGGAACTCCAAAATTGTGATGACACTGAAGAGTGCAAAGCTACTTCTGAACCCCAAAATCTCCCATTATTGGATGCCGTAAACCAGTATTGAATCTCATGTGCATTCAATTTCTCCTCTGGTTACTTTTATAGAGACACATTAATCTTTAGTCTCAATCCTGATCACCAACTGTCATTGTTACTACTCACGTCATAAGCTCTTTCCTCTTCCAAAAATAATTCAGAACCTCCACCGTGCACGAATTCTGAATTTAAAACTCAAGCCGCCCTCTACGGGTTTTCAACTTGACCTCCTTTGGTTTCAAGATGTCTTTTTCAAGTTTGCATCTTGAACCCCCCCTTTTATTTGTTTTTGTTTTGTTTTTTTTTCATTTTTTCATTTTCATTTTTTTTCATTTTTTTTCATTTTTTTCATTTTTTTTCATTTTTTCATTTTCATTTTTTTTCATTTTTTTTCTTTTTTTTCATTTTTTTTCATTTTTTTTCATTTTTTTTCATTTTTTTTCATTTTTTTCATTTTTTTTATTTTTTCATTTTCATTTTTTTATTTTTTCATCTTCAAGAAAAATCCTTCTTAGCTGCGTTTGGAGTTCACTGAATAAGGTAATTCGAACTCATCCATCTTAATCAAGACTAGAGCTTCCCAAAAAAGGTTTTCTTGACAACATAGGGTATTTTCCACTTGGGCATCCAATTCCCTCGGAAATCTTTTGGAATGAGCAATATCCTCCTGAGCATCAGACCCCTTTCGTGGACTTCTCGAGGGTGAACTTTCTTACCATCTGCTCGTATCATCCGCTTCTGGTACATCTGACCATGGCAAATAGCTTTCAATCTCTTTTCTTCAATCAAATCCAATTGGTCATATCTGGCCTGTACCCACTCTGCCTCATTTAGCTTCACTTCTGACCGAAGTGAGGGAGTTTCCACTTCAAATAGGGAGGACAGCTTCCATCCCATAAACTAGAGAAAAAAATGGAGTTGCCTCAGTTGACGTCCGTACAGAAGTCTGATAGGCAAAGAGAGCAAATGGCAACTTCTCATGCCAATCTTTATAAGTTTCAGTCATCTTCTCTATAAGCCTCTTAATGTTCATATTAGCCGCCTCCACTGCCCCATTCATCTTTAGGCGATAGATAGTGGAATTATGATGCTTTATCTTGAATTGCTCACAGACATAGTCCATCATCTTGTTGTTTAAGTTCAAGGTATTGTCAGAGTCCATCATCCATGCCCCACATAGCCAACGACCACAGAATTGTCATTATATGCAACTGATGAGGAGGGGTGTGCATTCTATCTCCATAAATTCATTAGCGTGGGTACCACATACTCCTTCATAAATTTCTTCAAGAATGGTCTTAGCTTCTTTAGAGTCCACACACCTTAATAGGATCTGATCCATGCTTCTTCGGGGTCTCAACATTGAACACATACCCTGCTGTCATTCTTCTAATGGCTCTTTTGTCATTCTCGGTCGCCTATTTGGGATAACTTTGATACCTTATATATTGCAAGATATCATAGTATTGAGTCTCCCATCTTTCTTTTCTTCAACGTTAAAGCAGTGGGGCTGGATAATCATAAGCCTTCATCTCAATAGGCATCATATTTGCATGCATGTTCATCTTAAAGGCTGCTGTCAGAGTAGCCAAAGCATCTGTCATTCGATTTTCTTCTCTGGGGAGGTAATTGAAAGTCATTTCTTCAAATTCTTCAATAAGTTCCAAGAGTAATTTACGATATTCCACCGGTTTGGGACCTTTCGTTTCCCATTCTCCTCTGAGTTGGTAGATTACGAGAGCTGAATCACCATATACCTTGGGCACTTTTACCTTGAGTTCAATGGTAGCTCTAAGGCCCATGACACAAGCTTCATACTCGGCCATATTGTTTGTACAATCAAAATTGAGCCGACTGGTAAAATGATAATGCTCTTCATATAGTGAGACCAAGATTGTCGCAATCCCATGCCCCAAGGCGTTTGAAGCCATCAAAGTCCATCTTCTAGTATCTCCCGGTGGATGCAATTGTTTCTTCCACCAAGATAGCCATTAAATCATCAGTCGGGAAATCAAAATTCAACGGTTCATATTCTTCGGAAGCCCTACTTGCAATGAATTCTACTATGGCACTCCCTCCAACCACTTTCTGGCTTACATACTGGATATCAAATTCGGACAACAGGATTTTCCAACTGGCTAATCTTTCAGACAATGCAGGTACTCCCATTAGTGACAAGCGTCGTTCATATCTTCATAGTGCACTTTAATTTGATTGTGGCTAGAGAAATCATCCATAAATGAGAATAAAGAATTTCCAGCAGTATCATCCACTAAAGTGTCTATATGTGGAAAAGGAAAATTATCCTTTGGACTTGCTCTGTAGTCGACACACATTCAAACTTTCTCATCCCTCTTTAGCACTAGGACAATATTCGGCACCCACTCAGGATATTTGGCCACTGTGAGAAACCCGACATCAAATTGTTTCTTCACTTCTTCTTTTATTTTGAGCAGCATCTCTGGTCTCATTCTTCTCAGATTCCGTTGTACAGGCTTGCAATCATGCTTTATCGTAGTTTATGGACCACCAATTTTGTGTCCAGACATGGCATATCCGTGTATGACTAAGCAAATACATCCTTGAATTCTGGAAGTAATTCTATCAAGCTCTGCCTTCATTCTGCACACAGGGTGGTACCAATCTTTACTTCTTTTATCCTCATCCGTACCCAAATTCCAGATCTCTGTAAGCTCTTCGTGAGGCAAAATCTGTTTATCTTCTTGTTCAACCCTCTTCAGTAATTCTGAAGGTAGTTCACATCACTCATCGTCATCACAACCTTCGATTTCTCCTTGACACATGGGCATCTCAAAATCAATCTCCGGGTCAGAGTCATTAGCATTTGTATCATTGATATCTGAGTTCCTGAAAGAATAACGGAAACGAAGATATATACATATATATATAGAAGAATCTTTCCCATACAAATAAATAGAAAGAAATAATACATACATCATACAACCAAAAATGAAATGCATGGGAGAGTGTTTGCCATTTTGGACCAATGAAATGCATCCTTTATTGAAAGCAAGTAAAAACACACAGCTTAACCCTTTACATCAGATCCCCTATTGCCCCAGGGTACGAACAATAGGGAAAAGTTCTAGTGCGCTACTCTGTAAAAGATTTGTAAACTAAGGGCGATTCCTCCATAGTCCAGTTGTTCAACACAAAGCCTGGGGGTGCAGGATAGACGCATGTAGCTCTCATTCCTTCAAACTCCTCATTGGTTACAACATTAATGCCAAAATCCTCCAAGGCATTCTCAATCATCACTTTACCACTTCTTGAAGTCCTTTGAAACACATACCCTGCTGATGTGAAAATGACACTCAATGGCGGGAAGGTCATGGGTCCCCAACTTGGGTCTTCACCAGTCAATCTTGCCTCTCTCAATTCCCGATTCCTCTTGATACCCCTCTGTTTTTCCTTCAAAGTTAGTTGATACCCTAAACCAAACCTGTCTCTTTTAGCAATAGGGTAATTTGGCCCAACTGGTCCTTGCAACTGACGTCCTAGCCCTTGGATACCTTTGGTCCCTCTTCCAAGGGTCAGTTTGTGCCCCGTTTTGGTGCAGTATGACGATCTAGGCTCTGAGATTTTCTTGCCTTCGGCCACAAACGTGGTATTGTCAAACGATCTGAAAGGACATTCAACAGCTTGTTCTTCCACTTCAACATATGGGGCTGCAGGAACTGAAGCAATAACGTCTTCTTCCGCATGAATGCATACCAGCCTTCCATCAAATACGAACTTTAGCCTCTGGTATAAAGTTGATGAAACTGCCCCAGCCTGATGAATCCAGTGTCTTTCCAATAAGCAGTTGTATGTAGGCTTGATGTCCATCACAAGAAACTCCACTTCAAATGTCGCTGGACCAATAGTCAAAGGAATATCAATCTTGCCTAACACTTCTCTTTCTGTTCCATCGAAAGATCGAACCATACTTTGACAATTTCTCATCAGGGTACTATCCACTGGCAGCTTTTTTAGAGTCACCAAGGGGATTACATTTAACGTTGAACCATCGCTTATAAGTACTCTGGATAAAACGTGCCCTTTGCACCTAACTGTAATGTGTAGAGCCTTATGATTGTCAATCATACCCAAAGGGATCTCATCATTTGAAAAAGATACAATGTTATCAGCCTGCATTTTGGCAACTAGTCGCTCCAGCTTTTCTGTGGGTAACTCCTTCGAGACAAAGGTATGGTCCAAAACTTTTATCAAGACGTTGCGATGAGCCTCTGAACTCAAAATAAGTGATAGGTCAGAAATACTGGCAGGCAGCTTGTGCAATTGTTCCACAACACCGAACTCACTATGTTTTAAAAATTTTAAGAATTCCACTGTTTCATCATTCAACCCCAGTTCATTGATAATGAGTTCGTCTTCTTTTATCTGAACATCGACATTCTTTCCTTTTTCAGCAGCAATCTTCTTCTCTGGCTCTTTGAAAAAGAACCTACCACTTCTGGTCAAGTGCCCTACTTCATTTATTTCTTCTTGTTTTTTTGCCCCCTCTCTCATTTGACAATCATACCTCCAGGGCACTTGTTTATTATCTTTGTATGGGAACAGATTTGAAGGAGCTACCCTTTCATTTACTTGATTCTTGGGAGTAATGACGATGGGACAACCAACACTGTGTATCCGTTTGGATGATCCTTCAGAAGCGCAAATCTCTGCTTTTTCTTTTTTAGTCACTTCTTTGAAGAATTCGATTTCTTTCTTGTCCATCATCCCTTGTACCAATTTTAAGAAATCAGGACACTGTTGTATATTGTGTCCTGCGCAATTATGGTAGTGGCACACCTCTTCACTGCTATACTGGTCACATTATAGACTAGGCTTCAACAATCCCACTTTAACCATTTGGCACCATACCCAAAGCATGGGTGATTCCACCTCACTAACATCCATAACAATCCTCTTTCCTTTCTCTTCAGTGACTGCGTTAATCCCGGTTCTAGCATGGTTTGGCAATGGATTTTGGGCTACCTTTGGTTGTTCACTGTCACCAAAATTGATAACATTCCTCCTTCTCAAAGCTTGAACGACTTTTTTTAATGCAGTGTAATTTTCAATGGAATGTTCAGGATTCCCACCATGGTAATCACACTTAACATTAGCATCATACCATTTGGGATAAGGAGGTTGTATATGTACCACATGATAAGGAGAGACTAGATGTCGATCGTATAAATCGCGAAATAATTACTTATAGGTCACAGGAATTGGATCAAATTGAGGCCTCCCTCTCCTCGGGTCCCTTGCCCCTTGTCTATTGTCATTTTGAGGTGGTGCCACCGTTCCCTGAGATCGGGACATTATGATGTTACTGGAATCGTACTGGTTCACCTGGGTGACTTCGTTTTCCTTTTTCTTTATCGGCGATTTGTTGCTGGACTCTCCTCCCTCGAGCTTCCCATTTTTAATCGCCATTTCGATCATTTCTCCTGTCGTAACTATATCAGCGAAACTTCGGGAAGGAATACCGATAAGGTGTGAGAGAAAAGGAGCCTTCAAAGTACTAATGAAAAGTATATTTGTTTCCCCCTCCTCCAATGGTGGATACACTTGCACTGCTACCTCCCTCCATCTCTGAGCATATTGTCTGAAACTTTCACTGTGCTTCTTCTCCATTCCTTGCAACACCAATCTGTTAGGCCTGACATCTTTCACATGTTCATACTGGTCGAGAAAGGATTTAGCAAGGTCTTTCCATGACCTAATATCAGCCTTTTTTAGTTGGTTATACCATCGCAATGTTGAGCCTGTCAAGCTTTCTTGGAAACAATGGATCAACAGCTGATCGTCCCCTATGTACCCAGTCATTTTCCTGCAGAACATTGTAATATGGGCGGAAGGGCATCTAGTACCGTCGAATTTCTTGAAGTCGGGAGTTTTGAATTTTGGAGGCAGGACCAAATCAGGAACTAGACTAAATTCTTTAGCGTCCAGTCGATACATACTGGTGTCTCTTCCTTCATAACCTGGACTTCACTTGCTAATTGTTTGAATTGTTCCTGAAAGTGTTTGTTTTCATTCTTTTTGGCCTCTTCATCAAGGTCCGGGACTTGGTGATAGAGACTTTCTTCGGGGTGCGAACTAGGTCCTGGTTGAAGATTCACAGCAACGCCGAGAGGATCTATGTGCACTTTGGTAGGAACAGACGTTCCTTGGACATTTTGAGACTGTACCGAGGTAAACCCTGGAGGATAAAGTGGTTCTCCAGTCATTTGCTCAGGGGCCTTTCCATGTTCCGGGTTTCTCCCTTCCAACAAACTTGCCAACTTAGACAACATATCTTCTTGAGCCTTAAGCATGTCCTCTTGCATTTTCCTTAGATCATCTTGCAACTGCAGTTGAATTTTTCAATTTGAGTAATCCTATCTTCCATGGTTCTCTCCATTGTATTATAGTGATGCTTGGACTTCCCCAGCATTTCTCTGTCACAGTTCCTTTACGAGTTACTCTCATGTTTTCATGATTGATGCATGTAAAAATGCTTAAATTAAAGCGATGCGAATGCAAATGTGGATGCAAAATGCAAATGCAAAAGGTGTTAATTCAAAAGTGACCACTTATAGAACAACCGTTCACTTAGACAACAAGAATTCAGTAAGTACACCATGTAGTCAAAATACAAATGTGATTCTTCATCTCTTCATTTTCTCGAGTCGTACTCTTCCTGGGATCTGGAATTGCACCTCCAAAATTGCCGGCGTATTTCATCACCTTTGATGACGTCAGATGTCTTTAAATTGAATCTTGGGATCTCCATCTTCACTTTAATGCAAAACAGTCTTCATGTCTTTGTGAAAGATCTTCTCGTCCTTGGTATGATTGTATCTATCTCTTGAGTCAACATCTCGTCCTTTGTAGCTTTAAAGGAATTCTTCAATCAGCTTCAGATATCGTCATTCATCGGGTGTCATTCTTCATAGATCACTTGAACATCTCTGGATCTCCCGATTTTGACTACATAGTGGAGAATTTATTGCCTCAATATGGTCAGCCTTCTTGTTAGTCAATCACTTGCGAATTAACACCCCTTGATGACATGAGGATGCAAATACAATAAAAGCACAATAAAATCGACATAGAACAAAAACGGGTTAGTACGCATAAGATAAACAACAAGATAGTAAGTACCGTGAACATCGAATAAAACCTACCCTCACATGTTGACTACCCAATCATGTTTTAGTAGATCCTACCCGACATGATATCTACCCACATGCTTTGTTGTTCACAAAAAATCCTAACCGCATGGTATCTAATTCACATGCTTGCTCAAAAAATAAACCTAACCACATGATCTCTAGTTCGCATACTTTTTGCAAAAAAAAATTCAAGGAAAAGGTTAGAATGAGTTTCCCCCTCTGCGACTTTTGAAGAAAAATGGGCAGAGGTTCGATATAAAACAGGCAGAATTCTAACAGGGCCCTCGAATTGTCCTTTACTGGTGCCCCCTTGGGCTTGCCTGACCCTCGATTCTCACCCATTATAGGCTTAAAACGAATCAAGTTCAATTCGAGAGGATACATATCCCCATATCCATGCAAGGAAACTCAATGTTTTCTCGTAGACATAAGGCATGTACCCCAGAGGTTACTAGCTAAAGTCCGTGCGGAGAAAAATAATTTTTTTCACGTAAGTGTAGCTTTCACCCCTACTTAATGGGATAGAGCACAGTTAGAAGGCTCTGAATATTGAAGGTTTAGCAAAAGTGGGGAAACTCATAATCCTTTGCCTCGATCCAAGAAACTCAACAAACTAAAGGTTAGAAAACTGAAACATGTAGATCACACGTTAGTACAACTATTTATTTGTAAACCAAATCACAAATAAAAATGAAAACAAGAAATTCAACACAAACAAGGGATCAAAAACCAAATTAAAATGAACTTATAACTTTCGTTTGCAAAGACAATTAATTAATCGACTATCGGCCTGACTCCCTAAAAAAAAGTCCCCAGTGGAGTCGCTAAGTTGTCGAAACGATTTTTAAACCCGTCTGGGGGAGCGATATTTTGGAAAACCGCATCATTTTTAATTGTTATATTTTCAATTGAATTTTAATTAAAAAACAATGCGATTTTAGAAAACCTTTCGTTTCGAAAAATTTGGGATTCCTTTTAAAAAATATAGGTTCGAGGAGTTGCCACCAATCTTTGATTAGGGTGTGATTGGACACCCAAAAACGTTGTCATTTTAAATAAAAATTAATTTTAATTAAAACAACAAATTTGCGGTATACACTACCAAAGTCCATATTCGGGAGTCGGTTACGCGTGGGGAAGGATTAGCACCCCCACAACGCCCTAAATCGGTACCTAGTCGATTAATTAACGTCTTTGCAACGAATTTTACAAGTTCAACTTTAATTTAATTTTTGATCCCTTAAAAATAACAAAAGCATGGATTTTACAGTGTACAAAAGCAACAAACTAAGTTAAATTAAAATTACCAAGCCATTAGAAAGATAAAGAATATTCAATTATTTAAAAATATCGAGACCAGATCTTTAGTTCAGTTCTAACGACCTTTCCTCGAAAATTTTAAATAACCGAATATTTCCTTTTCTTTCGTTCCCAAATTTTAAGGTGACTAAATCGAATTTTTGGTGTCACTGATAGGATACACTTGTAATTTAAAATTGTCAAAACAACTTTTCTGTAAGTTAAGAAAAAGTCATTCTAACAATTTCAAATTAAAAGAGTATTACTCTTAATCCGATTATGTGATTAGGTTAAGTCATGCAAATGAGGTTAACATGCTTAAAAAATACAACTAAACAAATATGTACTAACAACATGCTCGAAATAATATGTACATGCATACACTTAAAATAAATTTAAATTAAACCTACAATTAAGCATAAAATATTAAACAAGGGGCTAAAATATAAAGAAAATAAACAACAGGATCTTTTCATAAAAAATTTCATTTCGAGGTACTTCAAACATGATACAACCAAGATACTACATAGGATCAAAACGAACATTTCCCAAATTACACATCCAAAGTGAGAACAACACAAAAATAGCCCTAATATGATTATGGACTAAAATGAAATACGTTGGAAATTAAGATACGAAATTAAAATTGCAACAAAGCTCGGTTCAGGGACCAAAATGGGTCGAAACAAAGTTGGGAAGGCCTCTTACAGAATTACCCTATTTTGGTCTAGCCTCCTGAAACGCCGTCGTTTCACGCCATCAAGGAACGACGCCGTTTTGACGCGTTCATATATGATATTAGGGTAACTTTAACTTAGCTAAACACCAATTTCCTCTTCACTCTGGCTAGACACCAAACCCCAACCATTTTCCCTTCTCTCAAACCCTTACCCAGTTCTCTCTTCTTTTTGCCTAACCCTACGCGAAACTCAGGCCTCCGCCGTAACAGCCACGGCTGCTACCTCCAAATGACCCTAGCGAAACCCAAAAGCCCCGATGAGCACCTAGACCTCAACTCCTCATCCTTTCACCAAACCTTAAAAACCAAAGCCACCGCCGCCAGAAAACCCAAAGATCTCCACAGCCACCGTCTAAGACCGAGACTAACCCCCACCAGAAAATTTCAACCCCATCACGATACTAACACCAAACTTACCGAAAACCCCCCTAACAGAAAATTTCAGCCGGCTTTACCCTCTAATACTCTTACAAAACCACGACCATCGTGACATTTCCCCTCCCTAGAGGACTCCGATGAGAAGTCAAACCATCGCCCAAACCCCACCTAGACGGTCCTACCCAGAACCCAACGAAACCCCTGAACCCGAGACCCAAAACGGTCATGCATGGCTGGGAAATAACAGAAGGTGAAGGGTTTTACCTTCTTACAGCGGGTTCTGGACTCTTAACAAAGGCAGTGAGTACTTAAAGGTGAGTTTCTTCGCTCTCGTCCCTTTTTTGGTTACTGATGGATTGAAAGTGGATATCTAAGGTTTTTTTTGAAATTGTTTTTCTTCCTGTTGATTTCTGGTTGATTTTCGTTTTCTTTCTATTTTCTGTTCTTCCCTGTTGCTGATGACTGAGAGTTCCCCTCTACTCTCCTTTTCTTTCATTTTTTTTGTTCACTGCCGTTCATGAGCCTCTTTTTTTTTCTTCTGTCCTTTTTTCTGGTGATATATGGTTGCAGTTTTGCCCTCTGTCTCATGTTTTGTTTCTTGTCATGTGTGTATGCAGGTCACGGGAACGAGCAAGTCACAGGCGGTAGCAGTGGGTAGCCGAGCCTTGGTGTTGCTCAGTTGTGGTGCTGGCAGTAGCTTCACGTGGGAGCTATTGGGTTGTGGGTGCTCGATCAGAGTGATGTCTCGGTGCTCGGGAGTGGCGTGCTCGGGAGTGGCGTGCTCGTGGAGCGTGTGTTGCCTCGGGTTCCTCTGGTGGATCCTGCAGCTGGCTCGGGAATCTGGTGAAGGCTTTGAGCCGTTGGATCGTGAAGCCAGATCCAACGGGCTTCCTGTTGCGGCGCTGAGACAAGATAGAGGCTAGGGTTTTTCCAACCCTAGCAGTGTGGGCTGCCAGTTCCGGGTTGTTGAGTTCGGGCTTGGTTCAAGCCTGTTGTAATATGTTTTTTCATTTGGGTCTGTAATCATAAAAACGTTTATTTAGTGCAATTTTATTAAACATATCATAGATATATATATGTATATTTATTAAACACCCTACATAATTAAACATACATGGTAATAAACTAAAAACAACCTAAATGGATAAACACATGCAAAACATGGTAATGATACTAATTAGTAGTATATAAATAAACTGGAGTAAAAACTCGAACGAGAACCCTGGACAAAACGAGTGTCTACAAACCCAAAACAGATAAAAAATTCAGCCAAAAATGTAAAATGATCGGAAATAGTTCGAAGAGCTTACCCACAGCTGACGATGGAAACGATGCAACGATGGGTGACAGTATCGGTCAGATTTTGGTCGAAATTTCCTATAGAGCACAATTGCAGCTGTCGTGAGGCTAACCAGTAGCTGGAATGGTCAGTATCGAGGGAGATAGCGACGATAATGCAAGGGTTTTCCTCCCTTGATTTGCAATGATCGATGATCGAAAGGGTGAGTTGAAGGTCAGGGTTAAGTCGTCGGGGGATGTTGGTTCTGATGATGGCGGCTAGAGCGGGGTAGATTGATGAAAGGAGGCGACAGCTAGGGCTTTAGAGGGGAAAATTTGGGAATTGGGGTTTTTGTTAACAATAGAGGAAGGGGTTTCTGGTTTTAGGTATTTTTTTAATCTCAGTCTAACCCCTTAAAATTATTTTTTATTATTATATTACACC